GTTTGACCCTGCAATTCCTCTACTATGTATATACCCAGATGACCAAAAATCATTTTACAAACACATTTGCACCAGAATGTTTATTGCAGCCCAATTCATAATTGCCAAGACATGGAAACAGCCCAAGTACCCAATGACCCATGAATGGATTAACAAATGTGGTATATGTACACCAGGGAATACTGTGCAACCATAAAAAGATGGAAACTTCACATTTTTATGTTTACCTAGATGGAGCTAGAACTTATTGTTCTTAGCAAAGTATCTCAAGAATGGAAAAAAAAGTATCCAATATACTCAATCCTACTATGCAATCAATATATAATCATCCACACATTCATATGAATGGTAAAATATAACTATTGTCCAGAGAGTAGAAGGGAAAAGGAGAGAGAGGGGAAGAGGGAGGATATTTGGGGGACCTCACCTAATGTGCATGATGCAATGGTATATTTCAAAACTATTAAGAGTATAATTGTGATGGATGTGTTAATCAGTGCAATGTAAGCATTTCACATTGTATATCAAATCAGTACACTGAACCCCATAAATGCATCATAACACAGTTATGATTTAATAAAAAACAAAAAAACCCCTCAAATTAATGTGGTTAAAATCTATTTACGTCAGAGCCAAATACCTGGCAACTCCTTAGAAACAAATGGAGAGGGTGAGCCATAACGTTTACGTAGTTTTTACCAAGGGCCCTCAAACTATGGCCTGCGGGCCGCACGCAGCCCGCCTAGGACATTTATCCGGCATGCTGGGTGTTTTGCCGCCGCTGCCTGTCCTGCTTAGCAGCTGACAGGGGGCAGCAGTCCGGCCCTGCAACGGTCTGAGGACAGTGAGCTGGCCCCCTGCTTAAAGTCTGAGGGCCCCTGGTCTTTACTATCAGATGATCTCCCTCCTCATCACACCTTTCCTCATTATAACGCGGCTGACAAATGCAGGCAGCCACAATGACTCATTCAGGACACGTGATTAAGCAAAGGAGCAAAAAACTGACAGACCTCACATTATTTTGTATTTATCACAATTTGCTAAAAATTCATTCTCAGAGCAGAACTACTCTCTGAGAGAGACCACCAATGGTTGTTTACTTGGGTTCTCTGTTTCTACATAAGGCCCAGCAGAAATGTGCCTTGTGGAAACAATCTAACACAGTAACTTGCACCACAACACATCACTGCTTCTTTTGAGAAAAAAACCGACTGCCTTTCTTATGGTAACTATATTGTAGTTAAATACATTACAATTACAAAGCCACAGTATTTACCAAATCAGAAAGAATACAGGACAAATGACTAAATTCTCACCATCTTATTTCCTCCTCTAATGAAAATGGTTACAGCTCTGGAGTTCTTACACTGCTCGATGACCAGCATTTTGTCTTTGGTTGTCCCAAACGAGATTTCTTTTACAAGCCCAGCAAAGCCCAGCTTCTCAGGTGTGAGCTCTGAGAACCGGGGCACGATCCGCCCTCCTGTTGCGATGGCAATTAGCTAATTGGGGTATTAAAGGAAAAAGATAGTACTAGTGAACACAACTTTCAAAATTGGGCCACATGAGTTAAACTTGATTGAGGACCATCTCATTCACTAGAATTGCTGCTCTCCTCTGGCCAAAACATTTCCAGTTGACCCCCAAGTACCCTGTTAAATGAACAAGATTCTGAAGAGTGAGGCATCTTGGTCTGGCTTTGGTTGCCCAGCTCTACCACCCTGCACCCATCCCCTACGCTCATGACCCCAACTTCCTTCTGTGCAGCCTTCCCCGTCTCTGGGAACCCAGCGGCACGTTCCCTGCACTGGGTTGCAGTGAGGACTGATGACAGTGTACGTCTGTGACAGCTGTTAGTATCTGGCTGATGTGGGAGAGGAAGAGACCAGTTCTTCCTGCCCCAGAAAGCCAGTGACAGGGCAG